TCTTTTCTTTGTTTTTATAAATTAAATATATTACAAAATAGATGGATCTACTTTGGATTCCAGATCATTTTGCAGTTGATATAGCTGTGGTATTCCTTGGAAGGAATTGGAATGTGGAGGCTATTTGATGAATCTATTACAATTTTTGTAAATTTATTTTCACTATCAATGTAAATATTGTAATAAAAGTGAAAGAAAAGTATATTGTGTAAAATAATACATTATTGTAAATATTTTAGAACGATATATTATGTATTAAATTCACAAAATATGATTGTTCTTTACCTTTATCTTTATTATTAAAAAAAAATATTGTTAATGATATAATTGTGAAAATATTATATAAGAAAATATATAATTATTATTATATAAATTGGGCGTTAGAATCGGGCGTTACAAGGTCCCTTAGTGGCCAATGGATCCAAACCTTAGAGATCATCTTATAGGAACCCCAATCACACTCTTTGATGAGTATGAGTGGACCTAGCTTGACTACATGACAATAACATGCTCTGATGCATCATTCCCTTAGTGAAAGTGCATGGTCTCTTTCTTTCTGTTTTCAAGACTAATATAATTCTAATACCTTCAAATAGGAGGTCCACATCTAGCTATTATGTTCTTATTGGGGGGAATTTGATCTCGTGGAGAAGCAAGAATTAGAAAACAATTGCTAGGTCCAACGCTGAAGCTGAATCTTGCCATGGCAGCAGCTACATGCAAAATTACATAGTTTAGGCAGCTTCTACAATAGCTACAGTTTGGAGACACTCAAGATACTAAGCTTATTTGCAGAATTAAGTTGCTCTTCACATTGCATCTAATTTGTTCTTCCATGAACACATGAAACATAAAGATGGATTGTCATTTTGTGAGGGAAAAGGTGATCTCAAGGGAAATCACCACCAATTTTGTTAGCTCCAATGACCAACTGGTAGATATGTTGCCTAAATCTCTCAAAGGACCTCGTGTTGATTGCATCAATAACAAGCTTAGTTCATATGATATATATGCTCCAGCTTGAGGGGGAGTGTTAAAGATATGAAAATATGTAAAGCTAAAAGTTAGGGATTAGGGATCTTTTTCTTTATTGTCTTTCCTTATTTCCTTAATTGTAATTGATTATAAATTATAAATAAAATTGAATATGCATGGATCAACCACACATAATTCTTGCAATTCCTTTAGAGAGAAACGAAGGACTTTCACCTTGAAATTCCCTGCCGAACTCCCTTCCCCCCTCCCCCACAACAAATATATCACAAAAAAGAACTAGATTCGAAACAAAAATTGAAAAGAATTTCTCACTTACTTTAGCATTGATAACATACTCTCATTCATGCCTCTGCCTACGTACAATTTTGGCTACAATATAGTCAACATTAGATAGAGTACCCCCAAAAACATTTCAATTAGAAAGAGAGATGTAAAGGCTAACACAACAACCATCTATTACATATTATAAGAAAATAAACAAATAAATGTATGTGCTGCTTACCTGAGCCCACCACATAAAAAAGGTAATGATTCGCATATTTGAGCACTCTAATGTTCTCCGCACAGGAGGAAGGAAAAATAGTATTGTAGACACTATGTTTGGTAACATATATAGTACAACAGCATAGGTGTAAAGCGACTGATTCCCCCATTTAGAATAACAGATTGGCAAAACAACAACCCAAACAGCTGCTACCACAAATTTCAGAAAATATCGAAGCAATTGAGTGAATTTCATATTCCTCAATGCATTCCATGTGAGAATAATATCAAGACATGCTGCAAATAGAAGATATGAGAAAAAAAAAAAAGTTAATAAAATGACAACAGTAATTGCTATTGAAACTACAGAAGAATAAAGCTACCTTCATTTTTTAAAAAATATATATATTTTCCATTTTGTTTAACAAAGAGCTGAACAACTTCCAATAGAAAGGAGTGGTTCTTTTGGCAAATCTTTCCATTTTGGAATTTGAATTTGCATGTAAACAATAATTGGTAAGTCAATATATAGAGGTTTACAAATACACAATGGAGATAGAATTAATAATGGTTGTTGATATGGGTTGTTGATATGGAGCGACAGTGCTATTAAAACTAGAATGGACAATATGCAAATTTAAGGGGTATACAATTTCCTGGAAAGCAAGAAACTATTAACTCCATTTTCCTATAGATATTTAATAGCCTTGATATCACCTATACTTTCCAAATAAGCCATAATAAGCCCACCAGGATGTGCCCCTGTGTTTTCCAAGCCACATACCCAATCCAAGTTGTGGGCCTTTTAAGTATATTGATACTTTCTCACTTAGGTAATTGAGGAATTATACAATTAGTTTAGTTAATTATTCAGTTACTCAATTTTGCATAAGTGTATCTTAAGAGTTTTTTTCATAGTTGTCAAAATCGGACCGGACCGGTTCGACTGGTATAATCGCGAACCAGCCTGGTGACCGATCCAGTAACTTCGATAAGACAGTAAATTTCATAAACAAAGTAACCCATCCTGGAACATATCAAACCAATCCAAAACTAGTGAAAACCGATCTAAGAATGATGTAGAAAACCGGGTTGAATCAATAGCATTTCAATACTGTTTTTTTTTTAATCTTAATATATTTTTTACAAATTTTTTTTATTTTAAAATATTTATAATGAATAAAAATATATTTGTTAAAGATTATAAATTGGAATAAATTATTTTATAATTTTTTTTAACAATTTTCATATAAAGAATAATTTAGTCATTTATATTAATTTACAACTTTTATATTTTGATATTTTTCAATTTATTGCACATTAATTTAACATTTTTTTAATTTATATGTAAATTTATTATTATTAATGGACATTATTATATTTTGTTAAATTAAAACTCAAATATTATATTTGGACTTTTATGTTTATTTTGATTGTTAATGTTTTTATTTTAATTTTTAGTGTTATTAAATCATGATATTTTATTTATTTAACATTATTTATATATAATTTTATTATTATTTTACTAATATTGGTTTAACTATAGTTGAACCATTGAACCTTAAACTAATGCCTCTATCAATTCAATAACCAGTCCGATTTTGAAAATGTTGGTTTTTTTTTAACTAATAGTCACCAACTGTTAGTATCATTGAGTAACAACACTTATATGCGTGTTATCTTATACAAAGCAATTTAATCAAACAAATTTTGTATCCTTTTTTCTTTTCATCATTTTCTCACTTTTACTTTTTTGCTCAACATTCTCAACATAGGCCAACTCATCATTTGTCTAACATTTTGAAATCACCCCATCATTACACTTCTTTTAGTATTTGATCCACAACTCTTAGGCAGGACTTGATTTTAGTAGACTATTTTATGAAGATGTAGGAAATAGTCTAATAGGGCATAACCTAATCAGCAATATATCCTAACATTGACTTTTTTGGGAGTGAGATGGTGGATATTTTATCCTTCCTTCTTTTCTATCCTTTCAATAAATCTTTTGATAAAGTACATGCAAAAAGAAGCTTAGACATATAGGAATCAAGTACCTTGAAGAAACCTGAGAAAAGCATATGTAATGAATATAGTCATAACATTTTCGAAGGCATTTGAATTCAAAAACACGCCAACAGGTCCCAAGGAACTCCATGCTATGATAATCATTGCCTGAAACAAATACTTTCATATTTGAAAAGAAAAAATGCATACTGAAGTTGCAATACTCGCTCTAGACATTCAGTTAAAATCAACATAAAGAACATTCCACAAAACCAAATACTATGATTACCTGTAGAGCCAATATAAAGAATATCCACATTCGATCAAAACTCCTATACAAATTCAAAAATGTACGAACTTCAACAAAATTTGTTTTGGATTTCCTCTTATAAACTCCAATGGTTGCTTGGCTATGTCCCTGTCATTGACCATGAGAGTATTTACTTATACAACAATTTTATTATTATGGAAGGAAAATACAAGTAGTCTGTATATATGTATATTGGACCTTTAAGAGCAAGGACAAAGAAGAACAAGAACAAGAAGAACGAATAAAAAAAAATAAACAACTATCAATTAAAGACCATTTAGCCTGAGCAATTCAACTTATGCTCAATCATATATACACATGACATGTCTATTATTCCATACAGGTCATTCACGACCTATCCAACAGAATATGTTGGGTACTAGAGTAACAAAATAATAACTCCACTAATATAAGAGATGAGAAAATAGGAATTAACATTATTTTTATGGGGAAAACCCTCAACTGATAAGGGAAAAACCACGGGCAAGACTAGAGAAATATTTTCACTAAGTGGAAGAGAAATTACAACCTCTCTCTAAATACAAGGAGAAATTACAACCCTCAACTCCTACTGCTTGCGTTTCTTATAGGCCAAAAGAGGATCGACAATATTGTATAGACTTGTCCATGTTAATTGGCTATCATCACATCTGCTAAGTTGTCTTTGGTGTGAATCTTTTGCATATCCACACTTCCTTCTTCTACTACTTCTCAAACAAAGTGGTATTGTATGTCTATGTGCTTTGTCCTAAAATGAAAGGTTGGATCCCTTGCAATGTGCAAGGCACTCTAACTATCACAATACACAATACTCTTTAGTTGCTTGTGCCCAAGTTCCTCTATTATCCTTTGAATCAAATTGCTTCCTTGCATGCCTGGGTAGTTGCCATGTATTCAGATTATCTAGTTGACAATGCTACAATAGTCTACAATTTGGATAACCAACTTACAAACCCTCCAGATAGTGTAAACACATAGCATATAGTAGACTTTCTTTCATCAAGATCTCCTGTAAAATCTGAATCAACATAGCATTGACAATAAATTTTGATCCTCTAAAACATAATGCAACACTTGAGGTTCCTTTAATGTATCTAAGGATCCTCTTAAGAGTATTCCAGTGTTCTCTACCAGGATCTTCCATGAACCTACTAACCGCTCCCACTACTTGTGCAATGTTTGGTCTTGTGCATATCATGGCATAGATAAGGCTTCCCACTACTAATGCATATAGTACTCAAGCCATTTTTATCCTCTGCGCTTCATTGCTAGGACTCACTTGAGTATAATTGCCAATTAACAAGAAGTGAGGTAGAAATTGTCATACAGTCTTGCATTTTGAAGCGCAGCAAGACTTTTAGCAAGTAATTTTTTTGAAAAAGCCAAATCTTCTTATTTTTTCTATATTGGTGAATTTTGCATCCCTAAAATCTTGTTTGCTAGTCCCAAGTCCTTCATAGTTCATATCAAACTCCCTATCCAACTATGCCTTCAATTCTTGGACCCTATCTTTGTTGAGGCATACCACCAACATGTCATCCACATACAACAACTAGACAATGAAATCATTATGTTTGAACTTATTGTAGTACGGACAATGGTCTGAACTTAGTCTATTATAACCAAGACTAATAATGAAGGAATCAAATCTCTTGTACCAACATCTTGATGCCTGCTTTAGGCTGTAGAGGTATTTGGTCAACTTGTAAAATATAAAACTTCATAAAATACACAAGCAATGCGGTTTTGGCACTCTCCCTCAAGCTGGTGAGTAAGTATTCTCCATTCCTAGCTTGGATATAATTCTTTAAAAGTTAATGCAGTTCAACCCCTTGGTGAGTATGTCTACAAGTTGACTCTGAATGGACATATATAGGGTGCAAATCATGCCACTGTCTATCATACTATTGGAGTATAATTTACTCCTTATCTATATGTATAATAATAATATAGGCTATTTAATAATTTCTAATTGTATTGTCGCATTTATTGTTGTTCTTTATAGACCAACGGCTATTACAGCTGTTGGCTCTATATAAACTCACCATATACTCCCTATGATAGTAGTGAAAATATATCGAATACATTCTCTCATCCTTTCTCTTCCAGTTTCTCTCTCTCTTTTCCTCCTATTCATAATTCTATTATGGTATCATAGAGCTCATCGATCCTTCCCCCTTCTTCCTTCCCCAATCATCTCGACAATTCCTCGTCATGGCTAACTTTACTCCATCGAGAGATTCTTCCCCACCACCACTGCCTCCACCACCCATCAACGCCACACCAATCAATATTGTTTCTTCAAAAACCCCTCCCACTCTTCTTACCCATCCCTCACCTTCTCCCACAATAGCCCCCCTCAAACTCAAGGTGGAGGTTTGTCACAAAAACTTCGCACATTGAGTTTGCCTCTAAGAACTTCAAAACGGGTAGTAGATAGAGGCTTAGTAAGTAAATCAGCCCATTGATCTAAAGCTGGTATGTGATAAACTAAAAGCTGCTTGGATAGAACTTTGTCACGAACAAAGAACACATCAATCTCCATGTGCTTTGTTTTGCTGTGAAAAACAGGATTGTGCGCAATAGCCACTGCACTTTGATTGTCACAGAGCAAAGTAGGTGTGGATAAGGGAACCTTAAGTTCTTGTAGAAGAGCTTGAATCCAAGTTAACTCAGTAGAAGCTTGAGCTATACTACGATATTTAGCTTCTGTGCTGGACCGAGCAATAACTCGTTGTTTTCTGGACCACCAAGATATCAAATTGGGTCCAAAAAAGATAGCAGATCCAGAGGTGGACCTCCTGTCATCAATATCAGAGGCCCAATCAGCATCACATAAAGCAGTAAGAGAGATGGGACTACCTACTGTAGTAGGCTGCATATGAAGACCATAAGAGAGTGTGCCTTTTAAATACTTTAGGATTCTTTTGACAGCCACCTAGTGAGAGTCAAGAGGATTCGCCATGAATTGACAAACTTTGTTAACAGCAAAACTGATTTTAGGTCTTGTGAGTATAGCATACTGTAAGGCACCAACAACAGATCTAAAAAGGGTTGGATCATGAAATAAGTCATTCCTAGACTTGGACAATTTGCAGGTAGAGAACGTAGGAGAAGGAACAGAATGAGCTTCAGCCATATTGGTTTTAAATAGAAGGTCCCAAATATACTTTCTCTTAGTCAAAACCAGAGATTTTTTAGGCAAATATTTAACCTCAATACCTAGAAAGTAATCCAAGCTTCCCAATTGCTTCAAAGAAAATATGGAGTCAGGTTGATTGGTTATTTGTTGAATAAGGGAAAAAGAGCTGCCAGTAATAATGATGTCATCCACATAAACCAGAATAAAGATGGTATGAGCTTGATGTTTGTACCAAAACAGAGATGGATCACATTTTCTAGGTTGAAAACCAAATTGAGTAAGAGCCAATTTCAGTTTGTCAAACCACTGTCTAGGGGCTTGTTTCAAGCCATATAGTGCCTTGTTGAGCTTGCAGACCAGATTTTTATTTTCAGCTTCAAAACCAGGGGGCTGAACCATGTAACTAGTTTCTTCTAAAGTGCCATTAAGAAAGGCATTATTCACATCTAGCTAAAATAATTCCGTTATAGGTAAGAGCAAGAGTGATAATGATTCTAATAGTTATGGGTTTAATTACAGGAGAAAATGTCTCATGAAAATCAAAGCCATGTACTTGATGAAAACCTTTTGCAACCAGCCGCGCTTTAAGCTTATCTATAGAGCCATCAGCATTTTCCTTGACTCTGAAAACCCATTTACATCCCACTACTTTTCTGTCAGATGGCAGGGAAACTAAATCCCAAGTATGATTGTGTATTAAGGCAGTGTATTCTTGTTGCATAGCAGAGAACTAATTAGGATCAGCTAGAGCTTGCTTAACATTTTTAGGTTCACTATGAGCCAAGAATAAGGATGGATGTAGCCGAGGATTATGAAATCCAGATTTAGAACGAATTTGCATAGGATGATTATTAATGGCTCTAGGAACATTATCTGTGTCGGTGGAAGAGGCAGGACAAGATACATTATGTGAGAAAGACTCATTAGATGAAGGAGACACATTATGTGAAGAGGACACTGTGGGACTATTTGAGACACCTGGATCACTGTCTTGAGAAGACAGAGGAGGCTACTGTGAGAAAACAGGAGAAGTAGTGCAAGGAGGAGACAAATAATGGCTACCACTTCATTAAGCCTTGGGACTTTCTCTTTTCCCGGGATTTGGATTCGGACCTAGTCATATTCAAGATTCAGGCATACCAAAAAATCAAAGACTCTATCTTGTTCAATACTCGTAAGGATTGTTGAGTCTTCTAAACACTATGCTTTTATAACTCGATAGTGATCCAATTCCATCCATAGAGACTTGAGTTGATTGGCATATTCTGTAACTAACATGTTTCCCACTTTGGCAATATGAGATCTTTCCATTTAATCAATAAGAAAAATGAACATCCTGCAATTCTCTGACAGTGTAGGATCTATCCCCAAGATTCATGATCTCAACCATCACAGGTGTGTACGATCAAGGTAGAGTGGATTGCACAGCAATGATGGCTGCAATAAGGCTCAAGGTTGCGTAGCAATGAAGGCTACGACTTAGGGTTTACGGGCACAGTCAAAGGCTCCAAAGATTAGGAGCTTTGATACCATCTCAAATTTAGAAGGAATAACATTCACCTTTTTCTTTTCTAATATTATAATTATGAGGTCATTGGACCTATATATACATGAGTCTGCTAGCAACTTTAGGAAATATAGACAACTAATTCTAGGGAGACATCCCTATGATTGGGATTGTTTCTAAATACATAAACCTAGTATTAATAGCAAGATACGATTATCATAAAGAATAAAATTATAGCAAGGATAAAATATAAAACTTCGTAAAATACACAATAAGCAACACGGTTTTGACAATTGTCATCTTGTTTGATCTTGTAGACCCTGATCTTGTAGACCCATTTACAACCAATGGCTTTTCAACCTTTTGGAAGCTCAACAAGTTTCCATGTCTTGTTTCTATGTAAGACCTCCATTTCTTCCTGCATTATTGTCATCCATAAAGAAGCATCTAAACTCCTCAAAGCCTCTTGAAAGGTTGATGGTTCTCCTTCTTTAGTTAGAAGATATAGTATGTGTCGTGGCTTGACATGAAATAATCTGAGTGCAAAGATGGTCTTCTTATCTCACATCTTGTCTGTTGAGCTTCTCCATCAAAAGCCTCATCTGGTTCTCGTTCCATTTCAGAAGAGTCATCTTCTCTAGACTTCTTCTCTATCACCACTGTAGTAGTGTCTTTGGTAATGCTGTAATTTTTCAGCTCCTTTTGCAGTTCATTCTCTGTAGAGACTACATCCTTGCTATCAACAACCTTGCAGGCAATGGAACCCTACAAGCGATACCCCTTAACATTGTCAGCATAGTCCAAGAATATACACTTTCTGGATTTTAGATCCAGCATGGTTCTTTCTTGGGAATTTTACATTATGTAAATAGGACATATGAGCACGTGTTAGGAAGAAGAATCAGTTGGTTTGGCTCTTCACATCTCCATTAGTATTTTCAAACAAATTGCTATTAACGGTGATGGATTTACTACGTAACAGACGATTTTAACTACTTCTGCCCAAAAAGATTTGGCTACTCCCATTGTTCTCAACATACCTTTTGTTCTATCTAGGAGATTTTGTTCATCCGTTCTACTACACCATTCTGCTGAGGCATATGTTGCACTGTAAATTACATTGAAATACCCTCTAACTTGCAAAATGCCAAAAAGTCACCATCAACATATTCATTTCCATTGTCTACCCTCAAGCACTTAATTTTCTTCCCAAATTCAAGCTCAACTTGTGTTTTAAATCCCTTGAATACTGGAAACATACTTGACTTTTCATTGGGTACACCCACAATCTTTTGGAGTAATCATCAATAAATCATACAAAAGATTTTGCTTCCCCTATGGATAATTCCAGTGATTCCCAAACATTTGAATGCATCATGTCAAGTATGTATTTGCTTCTAGTAGTTACTTTGGCAAACTTCAATCTATTTTGCTTGTTTATCATACAATGCTCACAAAATGGTAAATTTACCATTTTGAGCCCTTACAAGAGCTGCAAGGACTTTTAGGCCTCACTTTGACATGTGACCAAGTCAACAATTTGACAGTACCGACTCCAACAATTTCTAAGATCATAAGTTCACGAGTGGAGTAAGTCTAAGATAGGTTGGATTGTTATTGAGTAGAGTAAGTCTATCAAAGACTTATTCTTGGAGTAAGTGGATCCCTCATCTATGTGTATATAAATCAAATTTTCTTATGTTTTTGCTGCTCAGCATTGATGACGTTGTTTGTTGCCCTTGCTGCCAACTACAAAACTGGTTGTCGGACTAGTAGATGCAACACCATTTCATCAGCCAAACGTCAAAGCATGGGGTTGATCTGACCATGGCAAAAGAAAAGGTCATCTCTTTGGGTCCTAATGATGTTAGTAAGATTTCCAACACTTGCTACTTGACTATGAAAGATAAGAGTTCTTTCAATATTTCGATTGTTGTTCACCAAGATATGGATCCTTGACTCTAGGCTATGGATCATATGACTCCTTTTTTTTTCGTACTATACATTGAATTGTTTATAAGGCAACTCCTTACTATTGCTAATGGAGATCATGTCCCCATTGTTTATGTTAGATAAAAGATTATTAGTTAGTTTCAGAATATGAACAACATTGTGCAAGAATATAGGTGGTTGAAATTGGATGTTATTTTCTACTTGAGCATGTAGGGTAAGAGTTCTTTCAATATTTCAAGTTTTTTTCTTCAAGATATTGTTAAAGTAAACTAAGAAAGAGAGCTATATCAGAAGTCAGAGCCACCACTCCATCATAAACCTGTACAAGTACTTATCTGCTTCATAACACCTCCCACAAATAGCACGCCTCAACTGGAGAGGCGGGTTGACATTAGACGTCAATGTTATTCTAGAAGGTTGTCACTGCCTTCAGTTTCTTTGCTGCCATCACTTTCTTCCACGCAATCAGCATCATACAAATCATATTCAACAGGATGTATGATCTTACCAAATAGCAGAATTGAACCAGAACCAACTTTAGTGTTGCTGTTGTGGGTCCCAGTAAACTCTGTGCAAGAGGAATGTAAACTACTCTGGCTATGTGGTGAAAGGTCATCTGATTGAGAACTGCCAATGTTTAGCTCTGTTGACACAGTTTCCAACCTTTGCACCGTATTTTTCACCAAGGAACTACTACCCAAATACAGATAAGAGTTATCATTTAAAAAGTTGGAAAAATTCGTTGCAGAAAATAGATCATGCCTGGCTCCCTGCATGCCAGCAGGAAAAGTATCATAACAAAACATTTTTTTATTCAGGTGTCCCATTGTTGAGTTAGGGAACAACCCTGACATAGGAAAGGGGTCTCCCCTTCCGCCGCCTCCACCTTGACGGCCTCGCTCTTCATCGCAAACCACGCTGCGCGGCGGATCCCGACAGAGAATTTTTGAACAAAAATTAACTAGAAACATGAAATTGCAGGCATTGAAAAGAACAACACTTGGGAGTTGATGGACCGGACAAAAGACAATTGGTGTGAAGTGGGTTAGAAAGGCGTTTTGAGTGATATCTAAAAGCAAAACAGTGATGATTAAGCTCAAAACAGATAATATTTTATCAATATGAAATCATGTGTATATATGTAATAATCCCTAGTGCTCAACACATATTTAGGTCATTGACTCGGGCTACAAATTATATTCATTATTTTCATACTTTACATCACATTGTTTATTAAACAACTCATTACTTCTAGTAATAGAGATCATGTCTCTATTGTTGGATCTAACAACATCCAACTCCAACCACACCCGTATTATTGCCCAATGTCCTTCAATTTCCAATAATAATCTTTTCTCTATACATAATCATACATGAGAGAGAAAGAAAAAATTGATTATGTTATTATTGATAATCTAAACTCTTTCAATGAAATTATATAATTACAAAGAAAGAGTACAAAAGAAGCTAAATAGTTATTCTGATGTGGCAACAGCGAATCAGCTTACAGAAAGACTAACAAACAGTCTAACTAACTATGGTGACATGGCAACAACCACTCAGCTTAAAACCAAAGAAGAAGAACACTACTACTCTATTAAATCCTGTAGTATTTTTTTTCACTCTCATTGTGTCCTCAATACCTTATTTTTTTTGCGACGGATGAAGACTGATGTAGTACCATAAAAAAGGTGCTGCCTTCCAATCTACAAGTGTCTTAGACATCCACTTTTTAGTATGCTCAAGTCTTTACTCTCATTTGTTTACAAAAGAGTCGGTCTATTCTTTTCACTGTGAGGATGATTGTCAATTTTCAAAATACCATCGTGTAACATTTCCTCTTGATAACAATAATTTTAACCTTATTCATTTTGATGAATGGGATTTGTTATTGACTCTATATGTGGGGACCAGTGCTTGGAGATATTTATTCGTGATTGAAATCATGTGACATGGAAATTTTTCATTAAATATAAATCTGAAGCTTGTTAAATACTTGTCAATTTCTTCAATCATATTTAAAACTAATTTGGAAAATCTATTAAGAAATTCTGGTCGAACAATTGACAGTTGAAAAATAAGTATAACACATACAGACAGGACAGAACGAAAAAGAAAAGAGAGAAAATAGATACAGACCCGGCGTGCTGTCTCATGTGTCTCATCTGAATGCCTAAAAAAATCTGCTTTGAAATTCAATGGCCAGCTTAGATCATGAAAACATTTGTTTGACCTGAAAAGGCACATATTTGAGCTTTTTGTTATCCAAATGTATAAAAAAAATAATAATAAATAAATAAATAACTTTTTGCACTGTTTCAAGAGTTTTCATTATTTGATAACTAAAAGTTTAATGAAACACTGACCAAAAGTATTCATTGAGCTCATCATAATTTCTCCAATTGGAATGACTGGCCTTGCCTCTGTTGTTTCTCCTTGCTTCCTTTTTCACCAAATACAGAAAAAAGTGTCAGGAAAACATTAGAAAACATGCAGCAAAATTAATTTGATTATAGCTTCATCATACTGACCTGCATTAAAACTCGATATATTGGACTTATAACTTCCCTCAGAAAATATTCATCATCATGTCCTTGGACTGGGTCTATGCTCATCATATGAATGGTAATATTTTCTAAAATCTTATAGACATCACGGGCCATCTTTGGGAGAAAAATGGAGAGTCATTAACATTGTACCTAACTATATATCTAGACCATGTTTGCTATGTTACTCTAAAAAAAATATAACTAAAATGTTAAACAAAATGGGATGAATAAAATACTTGATGAAGGCCATTTTCATTTTTCACAAAAGCGTAAACATTGCACAACTCGTGTGATAGCATGGGTCAACATACTAGTTACGTTTAAAGAGTTGATTCTTGCATGATATGTGGTGGTCTCAAAATTTACTGGAAAAATGTCTCCACTAAGAAAACTTTCTTTAACAACATGCAAACTTGTTGCACTTCATTAATTTGTGACTTTCACATGAAGGTATATATTTTGTTGAAATTTATATGTTTAGGAACTTCATGAGTGGGACGTGATGCCCCGGGGAAATCTTATATATTCAAAAGACATACTATTTGTTAGGAGGGAGTTGTCCTTTGTTTTCTTTGGAGATAGTCATTTTCTGTTTCTTTATATAAATTATGTTTATGTCAATGTTCGGCACTCCTTATGCCTTTTATTAGCTGGTTTAATACAGATATGTTTTGTTAAGTTTCTACATTTAAAAAAAAAAAAAAAAAAAAAAAAAAGGAAAATAATTGAAATAAGTTTCTCTATAAATTAAAATTATTTTATACATGATTTAAAAATAAGATTATAAAGGAACTAGTATGAATACAAATTACTTTATACATCAGCTAATTTCAGTTTATGGAGAATTTTATTTCAATTTTTCTTCCTATTTTTCTCTCCTAAAAATGTTTTTAGAAAAATTTATCAAAAAAGATTCATAATTATATCTTAATTTATGTCCAAACAAAAGGCTATAACATTAATACCTAATTAAAGAGGAAATTAAAGGTGAATCTTGTGGGGGTGTTTAAGTTTTATCTTAATAAAATGACTTTTGAAAAATAATTAGAATGATATTATTTGTTTAATATTTCATTAAAAGGAATGGTACCAGAGATTAAACATATTAATGGAGAAATAGATAAATATGGAAGCTATAACAAATGTAGTGTGGCTAGTAGAGGTGAAAATGGTGGTATAATGATAATTTATAAGAGGTATCGCAGAAAATATTTTGTTTAACAAAATGTTTGTTTTGATAAACTTTTCAATAAACATTTTTAAAAAATGAAAATAAATAATGAAATGATTGTTTTTCAAAAACTAATTAGTAAAGAAAATAATTTTGCTTTCTCAAAAACTTGTATTTAACTTATAACCTAGTTCATATCTTATATAAAATTTATCTAAACATACTCAAAAATGAGTTTGTCATTATAAATATTAAAGCATAAGATTAAGCTGATGGACTCACAACACAATCATGAATGCTATATGTTATTAATAATATTTGGCAGATAGCTAAAAGAAACTTACATGATGAAAAATATAGCAAAGACATTCAGGCATAAAGCGAATATTTGAAGCTTCTCCCCATATTAGAAGATAAAGTGCAATATAAATCAGCTCCATCTGTTGCTTGTCATAATCCTCTAGAAACCTATAAAGTGTTAAGAAAAAAAAATCATATACTATATTAATTAAAGATCACTTCTTAGTATATCAACATTATATGAAGCACAATATATTTAGAGTTCGCTTGAATGCAAGGATTCGGAGAAAAAGGGAAGAGGTTAATTAATTTTGTGGTTTTAAATTAAGACTTACAAAACATTTCTATAAAAGAATAATGGATGATTGGAAAGTGCATGGTAATATTTCAATTTTTTCTTCCATTTAAAAAATATTAAAAAAATAAAATTTTAATTCAAATTGAAAACTCAATCTTCCCTTCTCTTTCTCAACTCTCCTCAATCCAAACTTACTATGATAGCTTAAAACCATTGGTCATATTGCTTCAAAATAAAACACTCAATTACCAAAGATTGGATTCACAACGTAGATAATCACACCATGACTTATAATTTTTGAAAATTGTAGCCATCAACTTTTCCACAGTTTCTGCATGGAGCTGCAACAAGATTCTTGTTAGCTTTTAATATGATAAGAGGAACAGTAATCACAACCATGAAATTTAGCATCACCCTGTTCATTAAATATGAAAAAACAAAAACTAGAAAACAAAAGCTTTTTGCAGGAAATAATAGTTCACCTGATTAGTTGATTCAGCACTGTTCCTTATATTCATGTTGGCAAGTAATAATATAAGGTGCTCCCTTTGATTTGCTACATTTCCTTTCTTCATATCCCGAAACAGAAGGAGACATCAAATCAGATTATTCACCAGAAATGGCATTAAAAACATAAATAGTTGTATTCTTCATTGCTGCTAACAATAAAAATTGAAAAGTATAACTTTGGTACAAAAGAGACATTCCAATTCACTCTGAAACATACAAGAAGATAAATATAAAAGAAAACACTAGAAAAAGTTCTATACGCTCTCAACATAACTATGTATGCGGTACTGCTGTTAGCTAGAAGCCATTAATGTTATGAGAAGTAGTAATTTAAGCATAGTTTTTTTTTTTTAATTTTCAATTTCCCATCCCAATCCATTTATAAATTTACCAGTCGAATTGAGACAATTCATATCTATGCTGGATGGTCGACCAGGGCGAACATGTTTACTATGGCCAACCAGACCGAACAAGCCTAGCACATCCGGCTCAGCCGACTCGGTAAAATTGGGGTCGGTCGACTCGGCCAGTAGGATTTTCATACTTAAGGCCACGGAGTTAAGCTAGGTGGATTAGGATGAGATTAATCTACTTAATACACCAGCATACTCCCCTAATTTTTTGGGACTCATTCCCTAATCACAGCCCAACAACAACCAGTATAAATAGACCTTCAACGAGGTACGTAAACAACTCTAACTACCGCATTTATTGCGCCGATCACTTACTTGAGCGTCGAAGAGTCTTTTGCAGGCACCCCCCTACCCCGGACCGAGCAGAGCAAAGCGAGAAGACCGAGACCAAGGATCAAGATTGATATTCCTCGAGCCCGCTGGAATTATACTTAGCTGTCTTCGAGGAGGCAATCAGCTTGATTTTAGTTCAAGAGAGAGAGGCCAGGCAAATGCCCATCTACTTTGTCAGTCGACTATTACAAGACCCTGAGACTCGCTACCAACTGATAGAAAAGGTTGCACTTGGCCTAGTACATACGCCGCGGCGACTCCGTCATTATTTTCAAAGCCACAGGATCATTGTACACACGGATTGCCCAATTTCCAAAGTTTTGGGTAAGCCCGAGCTGGCCAGAAGAATGATGGCCTGGTCGGTCGAGTTATCTCAATTCGACATCATTTTCAAACCGAGAGGACCGATCAAAACCCAATGCCTTGCAGACTTCGTTAATGAGCTTCATCCGCACGGCAAATTCAAAGAGCATTAGTAGACCCTCCACGTAGACGGTTCTTCAAACGGCCAGGGAAGCAGAGCAGGAGTAATTTTAGAAGGGCCGAGAGGGGTAATTTTGGAACAATCCTTACAATTCAGGTTCAAGGCTTCGAACAATCAAGCCGAGTATGAAGCCTTACTGGCAAGCTTAAGACTAGCCGAGGATATGGGAGCAATGAGAGTCAAATGCCTTACTAACTCGAAAGTTGTGGCCGAACAGGTGGGCGACACGTTTCAAGTCAAAGATCACAACATGATGAGATATTACCACGTCTACCAAAAGATGAAGGCGAACTTCCTAGAGGTATCAGTTGCGCACATCCCGCGCGAGGACAATGCCTGAGCCGATCAGCTAGCTAGATTAGCCGCAAGCAAAAAGTCGGGCCAACTACGAACCATCATTCAACAAGAGATCGACCAACCAAGTGTAGAGGAAGAGATAGTCGAAAATGTGGACGTTGCCACATTCAATCACGCCGACCCCCCGGATTGGCGAGCAAAGATCAGATCATTCCTCACCCATGGGGTCATACCAGATGACCCGGTGGAGGCGAAACGACTAGGAACACAAGCCAGCAGGTATGTCATCATCGCCGACCAGTTGTATAGACGAGGATTCTCCACCCCATTACTCAAGTGCCTAGACCCCACAAAGGCCAATTATGTAATGCGCGAAATGCACGAGGGTATTTGTGAAATGCATTCCAGAGCACGAATGACCGTCTCCAAACTCCTGCGCGTTGGGTACTATTGGCCGACAATGAATACGGATTGTTTGTCGTTTGTGAAGAAATGTCAGCCGTGTCGGAAGTATAGCAACCTGATCCACCAGCCTGCCGAGCAACTGCATTACATTCTCCCAGCTTGGCCCTTTGCCACCTGGGGGCAGACATACTTGGACTGTTCCCCATGGCAAAAGGACAATGTAAGTTCCTCATTGTGGCCGTGGATTTGTTCACCAAATGGATCGAAGCCGAGCCCCTGGCAAACATCTCAACCTATCAAGTGCAGAAATTTCTCTAGAAGAACATCGTCACTCGGTTCGGCATCCCATCGGTTCTAGTGACCGACAATGGCCTCCAATTCACTGATCGGAAGTTGAACGAGTTCTTAGCTGGTTTGGGAATACAACATAAGGTCACTTTAGTCGAGCACCCGCAAACGAACAATCAAGCAGAATCCGCCAACAAAGTGATCTTGACCGAGTTGAAGAAGCGACTTGAGGAGGCAAACCACAAACCCGAGTGCTACGCACAACCGAGAATCTCCTCAACCATGAGGTATGCCGACCACCCCGTTCGGTCACGAAACCACGTGTCATAATCACGTCATATAATCCAATACAAATAAATGACAAAGAAAAGGAAGCTTCATTCAAGTAAGGGCGAATGGGTACGGCTAATTACAAAAAATTCAAAAAATTGGCACTAACAGCCAAGGCAGTTCCCAAGTGGCACTACCGGCCCGATTACAATACCTAAGCGACCCCGACACCCTATTTAGCCCCCCATCCTACCCCTACATAGCAGATGAGTTGTCGGCATTGTCATTAACCAGTACCTCGATGTTAGCATTGTCATTTCAGACTATCAGCTCCTCGGCATGGGTCGAAATTCCCCAAGTAGGGGCCTATCCTCAGGCTTTGCCCTGCGAGGGAACTCGGGGTAACTTATGAACTTCCCTTCGTAGAAATCTCGGCCAACGTCAAATCGAAGTCCTCCGGAACTTCACAAAAATAGAGTGCCTGGCAGACAACATGTTGAAAGCCGACATCATGCTGTTCAAGAATCTTCTTGGTTGCTTCGGCTTTTAGCTTCACCACAACCTCCTTCAACCGGTCAATTTCCTCGACCGACGAGGTGGCCTCGGCCTGAAGCTTTTGAACGGAAAACTTCAAGTCTTCCGCTTCTCACCGGTGTGCATCAGCAACCCTCTTCAACTCCTTGACCGACGCAGAAATCTTCGCATTGGCAACAAGAGCTTCCTCCAAATTCCTCTCGGCCTCCTTTAGTCGGTCCTGGAGTCGACCTTCTCCAATGGTCGACCTCATCATGATGTGCTTCGCAACCAACGAAGTCCAAGTATCAAGCTCACAGAATAGCTTATACTCAGCCTCGATGAACATACCCTCCAAATACTGAAGTCTGCCACCGGAAGTTATGTCTAGGCCGACCAAGTTCTCGACCTTGGCGGTAGGTACTAGGAAGTTTAACCCCGCCACCACAGCGGGCACGCCAAAGGCACTGCACCTGGGCTGATCCAAGGTTTGCTGCTTCATCCGCTTCAAGAACGAGCTCGACGGTCCGTTTCAGTGATCGGTTCAGCAGACCTCACCCTTGACAAGCTAG